TATGAGACAAACCTTTCTCTAAATTATCTTGTCTATCATGTAGGAGAGTGGGAAAGTTTCAGTTTAAAATCATATGAGTGTTTAGAATAATTGAATTTATAAATTTATGTTCTAAATTAGTATTTTTAGGTCTGTATGTATTTGGTATTTTATGTATGTGTAATGTTTAAGAGAATTTGGATTCACATGCATTTTTATATAAATTTTCACATGTATTATTGAGAAATATTCTGCTTTGGTTTGAATATGAGGTGTCCCCCAAAAAACTTTTGTGAAAATGGAGGAATGTTTGCAATTGAAATAATTAAACAGTTACCTAATCAGTCCATCCTACTTGAACTGATGGACTGTTAACCACAGGCAGATGAGGCATGGATGGAGGAGGTGGATCACTGCGGGCACATTCTGGAAGAGTTCATCTGACCTGAGTTCCTTCCTCTTCCTTTCTCTGCTTCCTGGCCCATAATGTGGACAATGATCCTCTACCAAGTCCTTCCGCCATGATGTTCTGCCTTACCTTGGACCTAGAGCTATGGACTTGACTTATCACAGACTGAACCTTTAAGACCATGATCTGAAGAAAGGTTTTCCTTTTATAAGTTGTTCTTGTTGGGTATTTTGGTCACAGTGATGCAAAATTGACTAGTACATGCTCTTAGTTAAGAAGAAATATTTTGGGAAAAGGGAAATCTTTGAGAAGCTTTAAAGTGTTTGTCTTCTGTCTGCCACCAGTCACCATGAGAGATATTCCCATGGAAAGTGAGATGATGGTTTCCGGAATAGCAAAGGCCAGCATCACTTAGCCACTGAAGCAAGTTGGGTGCAATTAATGAACATATGCATGGCTAAGTGAGAGAAATCAAGAATACCTTGACCCACAGGACAGTGTGGAAGTGGCCCATAGGTTGCCCCATTTCTTCCTTACCTCCCTCCCTTCTCTCTTTCCCTTTTTTCTTCCCTCTCCTTTTTCCATTCCTTCTTTCTCTTTCCTGTTGAACAAAACTATGAAGTTTTTGAGTAAATGAATAGACTAAGAGCCCACTGACTTAACTGAATTTCAGTTTCTCAGGGAAATTTCAATGGGTCATGGATGACTTTCAGTTATTGCCTTGAGATTTTGGCAGTGGAGACTGCAGCATATTTCTTCTAGTACTAAGTTGTTACAGGCTGAGTTGCCAGCCCAACTGGAAGAAACTTTGCAATAGATTGCACTTAATGGAGACGAGCATTTCTGAGTAGTGCAAGTGTTCAAGGTGGGAACATATCTGACACTTTTGTATACCACTTTGTGATCTTTTTGGGTCGATATTTATCTTCAGCCACTGAAAATAGACGCTGCTTTCATGCAGGGGCAATTGAACAGTCTCTCCTCAGCCTTGTTCAAGGTACCTCTCACTTTCTTTTTCTCTCACTTTTTTTTTTTTTTGGTGTGGAAGGCGTATAGCAAACATCTCAGCCTTCATACACTTGCTACTTGGAATTGTATGAAAATGATTGCACATTGGGTGAATCCTTGAACAGTTAAAGACAGTAGCTAAAAGATAAGCATGACTCCCTTTTGTCTCACAAAAGGATTCTGAGACACATGTATAAATTTCCTCAGATGACCTCTGCTGTGAGCTGCAATCGCCCTTAGCCTTGGCCATTTGAATCATGCATCCTGGTATCGACTTCCTCTACTTTTCCCTAACCATCCTGAAATCACATTCCTAAGTAAACTATCTCCAGGCAAGTCTTTATGATAGGCTGTACTTTAGGAAACCCAAAATAAGACAGAAGGGATTCTACTTTCCAATTTGGAAATGAGTAAATTCAGGCTTAAAGAAGTTAAGTAACTTACCAAAATCCTAATGTCTAACTCTAAATCCTGTGTTCTTTCCACGATGTAACCGAATACTTTATTCCCTTCATGTAGCTCTTTCTTGCCTTGTTGGGAGATCCTGTCAGCACTGGGGGTAAAAACTTCATTCCACAGAGAGTGCACCAAGCTAGTACTATTGTGCAGAGAGAAGGTAGCCATCTATGTACAGGGTCCTGAGTGACCCAGTGACCTTGTGACAATTTGAGATAAATTCAACCAACCATAGCAGACACCAGGGCACATAGACAAGGCAGTGGGAGGTATGGTCCAGTACTGAAAGTCCCTCCAAGAGATTCCAAACCAGAGGGAGATGCAGTTAAAAGCAAACACTTTCTGTGGACAATTGCTGGGAGTTTACATGTATTGACATGATGGAAGATCTGGGAATGGAAAGAAAAGGAGACTTTATTGACCTAAAAAAATACTGAAAATAAGACCAGTAAACAGCAAGAGGAACACACAGATCACAACTGACTCATGTTGACTGTAGACTAGGGATAATGTGTTTGAAATAGCATATTGATATATTTTCCCACCCATAAAAATTCTAAATTTGTATTTTTTATGTCTGTATATATTTGTATAGCTACCCAATGAAACAATGGATTTCAATATTTCAAGGGGATTCAAGGTTTGTATATATACATAATTGAATATTATTTTGTGTGTGTGTGTGTGTGTGTATATATATATATATATATATATATATCACATTTTCTTTATCCATTCATCTATCTACGTTGGTTCTACAATTTAGCTATTGTGAATTGAGTTACTATAAACATTGATGTGGCTGCATCACTGTAGTATGCTTCTTTTAAGTCCTTTGGGTATAAACCAAGTAGTGGGATAGAGCTGGGTCAAATGATAGTTCCATTAAGAGTTTTCTGAGGAATCTTCATACTGCTTTCCATATTGGTTGCACCAATTTGCAGTTCCAATAGCAATGTATGAGTGTACCTTTTCCCCTACATCCTCGCCAACACTTATTTTTGCTTGTATTCTTAATAGCTGTCATTCTGACTGGTGTGAGATGAAATCTTAGAGTAGGTTTGATTTGCATTTCTTTACTTACTATAGATATTGAACATTTTTTATATATTTGTTGATCGATTATACTATTGATTGGGTTATTTGTTGTGTGTGTGTGTGTGTGTGTGTGTGTTAAGATTTTTGAGTTCTTTATATATCCTGGAGATTAGTGCTCTATCTGATGTGTGTGTGGTAAAAATTTGCTCCCATTCTGTAATCTCTCTATTTACTTCACTGATTGTTTCTTTTACTGAGAAGAAGCTTTTCAGTTTGAATCCATTCCATTTATTGATTCTCAATTTTATTTGTTGCACTTTAGGAGTGTTGTTAAGGAAGTAGAGGCCTAATCTGACATGATGAAGATTTGGGTCTACTTTTTCTTTTATTAGGTACAGGGTCTCAGGTCTAATTTCTAGGTCCATGATCCACTTTGTGTTGAGTTTTTGCATGGTGAGAGATAGAGGCTTAATTTCATTTTTCTGCATATAGATTCCCAGTTTCCCCAGCACCATTTGTTGAAAAGGCTATCTTTTCTCCAATGCATGTTTTTGGTATTCTTTTCTAGTATGAGATAACTCTTTTTATGTGTGTATCTCTCTGTGTCCTCTATTCTGCACAAAAATAGGTTTGGTCTACAAACCTATTTTTGTGCCAATATCATGTCATTTTTGATACTATAGTTTCATAATATAGTTTAAGTTCTGCTATTATGATGTCTCCTGCCTCACTCTTCTTGCTAAGGATTGATTTGGCTATTCTGGGTCTCTTGTTTTTCCAAATGAATTTCATCATTGCTTTTTTGAGTTATATGAAGAATGTCATTGAGATTTTAATAGGAATTTCATTAAATCTGTATAACAGTTTTGGTAGTATGACAATTTTGACAATATCCAAGAAGCTTGTAAATCTTTCCATTTTCTAAGGTCTTCTTCAATTTCCTTCTTTAGTGTTCTGTAGTTTTCATTGTAGAGGTCTTTCACCTCTTTTGTTCCCAAGTATTTTATATTTTTTGAGGCTGTTTTGAATGGGGAAGTTTTCCTAATTTCTCTTTTAGTGGATTCATCACTTATGTATAGAAATGCATTTGATTTATGAGTATTGGTTTTATATCCTGCTACTTTGCTGAATTAATTTATTAGTTCTAGAAGTTTTCTGGTGGGATTTTTTTTTGGATTTTATTGATATAGAATCATATCACCAGCAAATAGTGATAGTTTGAGTTCTTCTTTTCCTATGCATATCCCTTTATTTTCTTTTGTCTGTCTGATTGCTCTTGCTAGAATTTCAAGGACTATGTTAAATAGAAGTGGTGAAAGAGGGTATCCCTGTCTTGTTCCAGCTTTTAGAGGGAATTATTTCAATTTTTCTCCATTTAAATTGATGTTGGCCTTGGCCTTAGCATAGACAACTTTTACAATGTTGAGATATGCTCCTATTATCCCTACTTTTTCTAGTGTTTTGAACATGAGGGGTGCTATATTTTGCTGAATGCTTTTTCTGCATCTATTGAGATGATCTTATGACTCTTATATTTAAGTCTAATGAATTGTATTACTGATTTCTGTATTTTGAACCAACCTTGCATCCCTGGGATGAACCTCACTTGATTGTGTTGCACTATCTTTTTAATGTGTTTTTGCATTGTCATAATTTTATTGATAATTTTTGCATCTATGTTCATTAGAGATATTGGTCTGAAGTTTTCTTTCCTTGATGTGTCTTTGTCTGGTTTTGGAATCAGGGTGATATTGGCCTCATAGAATGAATTTGGAAGTGGTGTTCTTTTTTTATTTCACGGAATAATTTGAGAATTATTGGTACAGGTTCTTCTTTGAAAGGTCTTGTAGATCTCAGCTGTGAATCTGATCTTGGGCTTTTCTTTGTTGGTAGGCTTTTGATGGTGTCTTCTATTTCATTGCTTGAAATTGATTTGTTTAACTTGTATATATTGTTCTGATTCAGTTTGGGTGAATCATATGACTCTAGAAATTTTTTTGATGTCTTTGATATTTTCTATTTTATCCGAGTACAAATTTTCAATATAGTTTCTAATTGTCTTCTGTACTTATGTAGTGTCCATTTCCTTAGAAATCTCCATTTATTTTAGTGCAGGAAGGGACCAGGAAGGGACAGAAGGAAGAGGAAGCAGTGCAACCTGACCCCTGGCTTCACATCCACCCTGGTGTTGAACACCAGAGGGCCATGGAAGGAGTTGAAAAGTTGGGGTCCATGCCTGACTGAAACAAGGTGAGTCTTTTCACTCTCATGGAGTAACCTCAACCCAACTGTGACTACAAGAGGATAGTCATTGCAATGGTAGGCAGAGATGGGGCCTGGGGCAGAGCTTTCCGGTTTTCTAAAGTTGATCCCTACTTTTCAGAATGGTGGGGACAGCTGAAAGTCAGCCAGCCATCCCAGGGGTGGATGGGGCTTCAGAAGATGGAGTCTCAGATGACACCTAAGGTGGTGGAGGGACCCCAAAGCAAGGCTGGGATGGGATTGTTCCAGAAGTTCTCCTCTTCTGGATTCTCAAAGGCTCCATAGTGGCCAGTGGGAGCTGAGGTGAATCCTAGTGAGCAGGTAGAGAAGGGAAAGCTGCTGCCCATGCCGTCTCTGAGCAGGGCACAGGTAGGAACAGCATGCTGTGGGTTTGACAGCTGCTGTGACCCCAGGAGAGGCTGGGAATGTGCTGCCAAAAGACCTGGCACTATGAGCTGGGCAGCCTTTGGACAAGTTCCCTGAGGGAATGTAACCATACAATCCCACAATAGGACATCCTCTCCTGAAGCAATGAGTTTATCTGAAAGGACTCACGGAACGGACCCAGGAGATTGGTTATAGAAAATAAAAGCAGATGCATGTTAAACACATCTGAGCTATAATAGGAAACTATCCTACAAGTGAGGTAATGCTTCATGAACAAATTAAAGCTGTACAAACATGGAATGGAGGGTGTTGTTCTGCACTATTCAAAAGAAAATCCCACTGCTCATATCCTCGGCTGCTCCATGAGAGGTGAGTGACCCACCAAATCCCAGGTGTTAAAGTGACTAAGGTCTGTTGCTGTAACAAAATACTCGATTCTGGGTAATTTGTAAAGAAGAGAGGCTTATTTAACTTACAGTTTTGGAGGTGCAAGACCTTGGCACTGACATCTGCTGTCTCAGGTCAGTGCCTTTTGACTATATCATGTGGTGGAAGATAGTGCCTGCAAGAGGAGAAATCACATGGTGAGAGAAGCCAGAGAGTGGGGAGGTGCCATTCTCTTCTATAACAACCATCAAATAGGGCAGAACTCCTAATGGCATGATCACCTTCCACTGCTCTCCACCTCTTAAGTTTTACCACTTCATATCACTGCTCTGAGGACCAAGCTTCAAGCACACGAACCTTTGGTGGATACAAACTTAATCTCAACCACCGCAGTGTGTGTGGCCATCTGGTCCCTGTCTGGAATATTCCAGTACCATAGACATTCAAATTTTGAGAATTTTAAATATGTTTAAAATATGATTATAACTTGAGAAATTATATTCATAAGACAATATGAATAGAGGAGTGCAGAATATTAATGTTTTATGTCAGTTTCATTTTGAAATTATAATATTTTAGATATGTTAGATTTAATAAAATATTTTTATTTAACCTGAGTTATCCTGTTTCTTTTTATCATTTTCAATGTGGAAATTAGAAAATGTTGTGTCATATATGCAGCTTGAAGTTGTGGCTTGCTTTATGTTTTAGTCTAAATAACAAAGGAGAAGAAGCAAAAAAGGTGTACATCAGTGCTGTGACCTGTGTGGGGGAGCACATCATTTCCTCTTCAGATTGGCATATTTGGAGAGTGAAAGCAGGCATTGGTAGATACTGAGGCAAGGGTCATGAACTGAAGCCATTCTTGCCAAATGAAGATGAAAGGTCATTTTTCTAGGGAGTTAGGTGCTATTCATGCCACAGAGAAAGGCCAGGTGAGAACCATAAGTTTGTTTTAGGGAGATCATTTTTCCTAGTGTCAAGAAAAAAAAAATGAAGTTTTGTCACACCTGTTTCATGTTCTTTCTACTCTTAGAACAAACTGACGGCTTCCTATTTCTAAGAGGACAATTTAAGACAAAAAGTATCCAGGCTCCAAAGAATTTCTTGAGTGTCAGACATTTTTATGAAGCATGTGGATGTATTAACTTACGTACATTAGAAACACATGATTGCATTTCCTTTTAAAACACGTACACACTTAAAACATAATGGGAAAAGGGCTTGGCAGATGGTTTTCTAAATCCCAGTGTTTTCATGCACATACACCCCCACAGGCACTTAGAGGATGCTCTTCCCACACAAAACCAGCAGCTTTCCTCTGTCAGCAGAGCTGGGCTCTTTATGGATGTTCACCCAGAGTCTAGCACTTTGGGTCAGAGGATCAAGGATCCTGAAAAAATAAACACTTTCCTGAACTCAAAAAACTTAACACCCCCAAACCAATAACCCAATCAATAAATGGGCAAATTAACTATACAGGTCCTTCACAGAAGAAATGCAAAGGGTCAAAAAGTATATGTAAAAAAAGGTTCAACAACTCTAGCAGTCAGAGAAACGTAAATTAAAGCTACATTTTTAATTTTAAAACTCCACTCAGAATATCAGTTATCAAGAATACAAGTAACAATAAATGTTGACGAGAATGTGGGGGGAAAGGTACACTCATACCCTGCTTGTGGAACTGCAAATTTTTGCAACCAATCTGGAAAGCAGTATGGAGATTCCTTGGAAAACTGGGAATGGAATTACCATTTGATCCAGCTACCCTGCTCCTTGGTTTATACCCACAGGACTTAAAAACATACTACAGTAATGTAGCCACATCAATGTTTGTATCAGCTCAATTGACAATAGCTCAGCTGTGGAACCAAACTAGGTGCCTTGCAAAAGACGAATGGATAAAGAAAATATGGTATATACACAATTGAATATTACTCAGCCATAAAGAAGAATGAAATTATAGCATTTGTTGGTAAATGATGGAACTGGAAAACATCATGCTAAGTGAAATAAGCCAGTCCTCAAAAACCGAAGGCCAAATGTTCTTTCTGATATATAGATGCTTACCCACAGCAAAAGAGGATAGGGAGGGGAGGAATAGAGGTTCATTGGATTAGACAAATGGGAATGAAAGGAAGGGAGGTGGGTGGGAATAGGAAAGACAGTAGAATGAGTTGGACATCACTTTCTTTTGTTCATATGTGAATACATGACCAGTGAAATGCCGCATCATGTACAGCTACAAGATTGGAATCCTAATTAGAATAAGTCATACTCTACATGTGTGTAATCTGCCAAAATACACTTTATTGTCATGTATATATAAAAAGAAGAAATAAAAAAAGGTTGTTTTAAAAAACACACCAGGGGCTGGGGATGTGGCTCAAGCGGTAGCGCGCTCACCTGGCATGTGTGCGGCCCGGGTTGGATCCTCAGCACCACATACATACAAAGATGTTGTGTCTGCCGATAACTAAAAAATAAATATTAAAATTCTCTCTCTCTCTCTCTCTCTCTCTCTCTAAAAAAAAAAAAAAAAAAAAAAAAAAAAAAAAAAAAAAAAAAAAAACACCGAACACATTTCAAAGAGAATTAAAACCACTTACCACAGTAGAAAAAAATAAATAAATAAACACTTTGCTTAGTCTGAGTTTTCAAAGGAAGGTAGGAAAATCTGACTGAAGACTCCAGCACAGCCCAGTAAGTCTTTGTACCTCCATCTGCATTCTCCTCCCACTCTTCCTCTTGGATAAATGTGATGATTCCTCTACTGACATATCCCATCCTTCCTATTCCCAGCAGGTTCCTTTGCTGCCCTGGGAGACTCCGTTCAATCTTTCTCCCTTCCCTGACTCTAAGCAGGCCTTTCCTCGTAGTCTCGAGGAGGATTGGCTCCTCCACCCAGACCCTGGAGACTTCGTAAAACCTTTATGGGAGTGTTTCTTCTTAATGGACCATGCTCTTGGTCACCTCGACCACCTCCTCATTCTGCATGAGCTCCTTCAGGGAAGGAAGGACCCGTGTTTCCTCCAGGTGGCATCTCTGGAGAGTGCCATGTCTTACTGACCTTTCCTATATATGGAGTCCTTCCCATCACTGAAAAGTCATTCTGATATACAAGAAATGCAACATGACAAAACCCCAAGGACAATGACAGGTGACTAGGAAGTGCCCCGATTGTCCATGAAGACCTTGACGTTTGCAAGACTGAGCAACTTTCCCAAGCATCACTTGGTTTGGAATTTCAGGCATTTTTTTTTTTTCTTTCTCACTAAACATGCCTGTTTGGCTGAATTGAACACAGATGCTTCAGGTCACAGACACACACATTTTGAATTTTGGATCTGATCTTAGATTTAAAAAAAAAAGGGTTTTACTCCAATGAAGGCTGATGGTAAGAAGCTCATATAAAGTAGTGAGACTTTAGCACAGAATTCTCAAAGGAAGTATTTCATGTTATGAGGGAGGGGCTTAAGGTCTCAATGGGGCTCATGAAGTCCAGGAAGCCCTATATTTGTGGTAACATTTAGTGTCTATGTGAGTCACTTTGTGCCTGGGTGTGACTGTGAAGAGACTACAAAGCATGGCCACCAGGGTGCCTAAGGGCCCTTCTGCCCAGACAGAGGGGATGCCGGGCACCTCCTTGGGGATCAAGCTGCTGCCATTTGGGCCAGTTTCCTCCTGCAGGCCCCCTTCCAGGCCAGGGGCTGGCAAGGCCTGGAGGAGGGGTCCCTGGGGCTCCCTGGCATCCTGTGTATTAGCACTCTTGCCTTGCAGACCCGCTAATCCCTCCCGTAAGCTGCTTGGCTCAGCTCCTTTGCCAGATCTGATAGGAGGATTTAACCTTTCCTTTTTCCCTCTTGGCACACACTCAATGGAATCCAAATAAAGAATTAAAGAGACTTGAAAGGGACTTTCCATTACCAAACAATTCGGTTTAAATTTCCGACCTTTCCTCTACCTTTTTTTTTTTTTTCCCATTCCCTTCTTTCTTCCTCCCCAACATTTGGGAGTCATGGCTGGCACAAATACCCTGGGGACGTGTGGAGAGCCAGAGACCAGGAACGTGAGTGGAATTTTCCAAATTAAGGCGGCTTATTGGCTTTTGTTGCCAAGCGAGCTGGGGAGGCCTGGCTTTGGGGGAACGCCTGGCAACAGGAGTGCTCTGACATCTGGAAGAGGGTTTGGCTTTTATGGCATTAGCCACACAGGCTCTGGCTTCATGGAACACTTAGCATTTTTTCTGCAATTCACCAGACACCCTCCTCATTCTGAGTCCTTCCTGCTGTTGCTCCTGGAACATAAATCCAACAAGTCTTAACTGAACAGCTATGGGATCAGAAGCTGCTCCACCATCTCAGGGTAATAACAGTAGCTAATGTTCATGAGGAGCTGATATGTGCCAAGCATTACGCTGGCCCCACAACACTAAGGGGTGGGTCCACCATCTTTCCCCATTGGGTAGTTGAGGATTCTAGGACCCAGTGAGGAAAGCAGAGCTTCAAGTTCTCCCGGACAGGATGTAGAAGAACTAGAATGCAAACCAGGCAATCTGTCTCAAGAGCCAGAAAAGAATAACCAGAGTGGAACGGAAGCTTCTCACAGGGCCAGGAACATGAAACACAACCAACAAATTTTCCTTATGGCAATGAGGAGAAAGAACTGTCAAAATAAAGCTAATATATGCTTTTGATCTTAGTTTTAAGAATAGCCTTTTGTTTCTTTTTAGCATGATGATAAAGTAATAATCCATGTTTATGGAAACGATTTCAAAATCATTCCCACCAAAGATGCCAGGTATGGATGATTTTATATGATGGTTCTTTCAAATGGACTAGAAATGTTAATTGACATTCTGTACACGCAGATCTGGAGTTTGGATGGAAGTATTTAATAATTCTTTATAATAACAAGAGCTGACATTTATAGAGTGCTTACCAAATGTCAGTTAGTGTTTGAAGCTCTTTGCCTATGTTAGCTCCTTGTCATTTTCCCAATAGTCCTGTGAATTAATTCCAGTTATTATTCTCCTTTTTCATATATATGATTTGAAGTAACTTACCTGGGATCATGAACAGTTAGCTAGTAGCAGAGTGGGATTTCTATTCCATGAAGTATGGTTCCAAAGCCTGACCTCTTAGTAACCCATGCAGCAGGGTTAGGAGTTCCTACTTTTGTGATTATTCTTTTCTATGTTTGTCTATTGGTCAATGTTGCACATGCCAATCACCGTTCAAGATTTGGAAATAGCAGCACGTGTTTTTTTCCCAGGAACTGCAACAGAAGTTAAAGCAATTTACGGCAAAGCCTGAGAACAGACAATGAGAGGTGACTGTAACACTAGGGGGCGTGATTGAGAGTTGGTCTTGCCTAGTAAAAATCCACTCCATCCTGACAGTGTCTCCAGATAGGAAGGTTTCTACCAGCATTCGTTTAAGAAAGGAATGAATGGTCAATATGTACAGAGGATCACTAGTACTGAGAGTAGAATATGGTAAGACTCTTTAAAAACATTTTCTTTGTTCTTTTTAGGTATACATAACAGTAGAGTGTATTTGGATGTATTATACGTATATAGAATATAACTTATCCTAATTCGGATTCCATTCTTGTGGTTGTACATGGAATGGAGTTTCATAATCCCTCGTGTATTCATATAAGAACACAGGAGAGTTATGAAATAAATTGTAGGGTTTGTGTTTTGTTCAATCCCAATAGCTTTCTGGAAAGCAGTGCCATGTCCATCGTAGACAGGTAAAACTACAAACAGTAACAGCAGCAAGAGTGACAGATCAATCTTTCAATTGCTAGGTGGTATCAGGTGCCTTCCTGTTGCTCAGTCAGGGCCATCCGGTGCTGAGTACTGGGGCTTGGAGCACACTTCTGTATTTCCTTGACAATTCCAAACATGGGAAAAAATCCTTTATAGCAACACAATGTCATTTGTCTTTTGGAGCTAATTTGTACTGAACCATGCTCTCCTTGAACTGGTATCTTGTATTATTCTGACAGAAAAAAATAAATAAATGCTGTAGTGGCCCAAGCTCATGTCGGGAACACACTAACTGAGCTTGACTATGGGTTTGAGCCCCAACTCTTTCTAACTGTGTGACATTGGTTAAATCATTCAACTTCTTTAAACTTCTCTATGCTCATTTTCACTGGTATATAGTAAGGACTCAATAACTTATTTACTGAAGCAAATGGGTGGCTTCATTAAAAAGGGGTTTTCTTCTTTCAGGGTTGATCTAACAACAGTGACAACGATAAAAGCAAGACTGGGTATTGAAAGTCAAGACTGGGCAAGTGGAGCCCTCTCTTCATGTTATAGACAAGGAGAACCCTGAGCATGCAAGACAGAAGACTTCCTTTTGGTTTGTCTTCAGCGTTTCTGCCGATGTGTTCGTGGTCCTGTGTCCCATGTCTGCAGTCTGAAGGGAAAACCCCATGCACCATCAGCCTAAGAAAAGGCACAGGCTCAACTCTGAAGGCTCTCTCTTTCCACTCTTGAATAATAGCTAGATAAAGCCAATCTCAAACCTTAGTAGTCCACTAAGAAGGTTACAAAATATATATTTACGAATTCATCTCAGACTGTATTCCAGCCTGCCATTAGGATTTTGAAAGCATGTGCATGTTGTATTGTGGCTGCTAAAGTTCATGTCTGCTACTATTATTCAATCTGCTAAAAATTGTCATTTAATTTAATAATATGATGAAAGCCTAAAAATAAATGACATGAATTATTATATAATGTCTCTTTCCACCCACTCACTCCACAGAGTCCCTCCTTATTTGGAGACCTTTAATATTCTAGGAACATAGTTGAATCTTACACACCCACAGACTCTCCGAAACCTCATTACAATACAGCTATCTGGGTCTCTAATAGAGTTTGGTAATTTTAGACCTCACCAGGGATGCTAACTACTAGCATTCTAAGCAGATCTTCTTAAGCTGATAGAAGACATGCATCCGATAAATGCATTAGTCTTTTACAGAAATACGTTATGTATAAGTAAGATCTCTCTAAGCATTTGTGCACTGATTGCTGTGTGCAGAAGATAGAGTGAGTATTCCTTGAAGGCTAATACATGCAAGGCTCTGTGTCAAATGCTTTCCATGCATGTTTTAGTCATCTATTACCACAACTTAGAAGCTTAAAGCAGAGCATGTTCATTATCTGTCAGTTTCTCTGGGTGAGAGTCTGAGCTGGCCCTCTGGTCAAGGACTCTCAAGATTGCTATCAAGATGTCCACTGGACTGGCAACTCAGGGAAGCATCTGCCTCCAGGCTTTCTCAGGCAGGCTGATTCCTTTGGCTGCATAACTGAAGTCCCTGGCTTACTACTGACTGCCCACTGGGAGCCACCCTCAGCTCCTAGGGCTGCCCGCAGTTCCTGCCACTTGGGGCTTCCATGGACAGTTTCCAATATGGCTGTGTGCTTCTTCAGGCCAGCAGGGGAATCTCTCTCTCTCTCTCTCTCTCTCTCTCTCTCTCTCTCTCTCTCTCTCTCTCTCTCTCTCTCTCCAAAGACTTCTATAATGGAACTTAATCTCTAGAGTGACAGCCCTTGCCTTTCACATACTCTATTGGTTAGAAGCAGGTTCCAGGTCCCTTCCATGCTCAGGAGGAAGAAATTATACAAAGGACACGAGAGGCCAAAGATTCAGAAGGCCATAGTAGAATTTTTTTCTTCCAAAATGTATAACCTCATTTAATCCTCACAGTAGCCCTCAGAGACACATCCTTTTATAATTATTTAGCATTCAGAGGCAAGGAAGCAGGGAAATCTAGGAGAGCAGAGACAACCCATCCAGATGGATGTCACAGCAAAACCCTGGGACTTTACCACCTGCTTGCAAACCACATCTTTGCTTCTGCTTTACATAACAGACTGAGGAGGTTTTGTTTGCTGGATGCTGGATTCTGCCCCCATATTTACCTTTTTTCTTTTTATCCTGAAAATCTGTTGCAGGGAGCTGTCATAATCCCTGTTTTATAGAATATAAAACTGACTCTTTGCAACTTTCAGCAAGTTGTTTAACATTCCTGAGTTTCATCCTACTCATCTATAAGAGGGAGACAATAGCAACTCATTAACTCATTGATTGCATTGTGAAGACTAGATGAAGCACTATGTACACAGGACTTTTTTTTTTTTATACCAGGGATTGAACCCAGGAGTGCTCAACTACTGAGCCACATCGCCAGCCCTATTTATATTTTATTTAGAGACAGGGTCTCACAAAATTGCTGAGGCTGGCTTTGAACTCATGATCCTCCTGCCTCAACCTCCTGAGCCACTGTGCACAGGATTTTGAGAATTGACCATCTCCATTAGTAACTCAATAAATGCTATTAACTATTGATTTGGGTCTCCAAGTGAATTTTGCCTAAATCAGTATGTTTAAGATTAAAAAATTAACAGTTTGAGAGTAGATCAAGTTATTTTTAAGAACCTGTGTTTCTTCTGCTTCTGTCAGGTACTGGAGAAATATTTTGTACCTGCCATTCTGTTCCTGATAGCTTCTTATTTCAGGTACACTCTTTTTCACTTATTCCCATAAGGGTCTTTTGGATGTTAACTAAAACTTGTGTTGTCTTCACAGCCATTGTATGTCACAGGTGTTTTTTCTGAGGACTGTTGGACCTTGCTACCCCATCCATAGCCTTTACTTCTGTTAATGAGCTCTCTTGTCATTGTGACCAAAGTACCAGACAAGAACAACTTAAAGGTAGAAAGGCTTATTTTGACTCGTGGTTTCAAAGGTCTCAGTCCATGGTTGGCAGGCTCCATTGCTCTGAGCCTGAGATGAGGCAGAAGGGCATGGGGAGGAAAGCCGACAAGCTCATTGCAGCCAGGGAACAGAGAGAAGGTGAGGGAGAGGGATAAGGTGAAGTTCCAGAGGTCATGCTCCCCATGGTCTTCTTTCCCTACCATGCACCACCTGCCCACAGTTTCCACCACCCCTCAGTAGTAGTCCATTCAGCTATCAATGGATGAATCTGTTGGTGAGGCCAGAGCCCTCATTATTCCATCATTTCCCTAAGCCCCATATCTGGACATTGTTGCACTGGAGATCAAACCTTCAGATCGTGAGCTTGGGGGAACATTTCATACTCAAACAACAACATTCTCCCATTTTCTTTTCTCCTTTGGCTTTCCCCACTGGGGCCTGGGAAATAGATGTAAGGTTTCATCTCAGTTTTCTTCTTTCCCTTCCAGTACGACTCAGTGAATGCAGGTTAAACAGAGAATTCAGTCCCTCAGTCAAAGTGCTCTCATAGATGATGCTCTCCAGATGCAGAGAATAATCAGTACTAGTCTCTATCCTCCAAGTTTATGGAAGATAAAACTAGAAAATCTCCCCCAAGCATAGAGAATCACCAGGGGAGAATCACCAAGCAGGATGAATTCTCCAGGGGGTTTCCTGAAGTTAAAAAGGATCTAGTAATTAGGGTCTGGTGACAATATGGATTTCTAGAAAAAGCCTTAGTCTTGACATTGAACAAGCCTGGGCTCTAGTACCAGCTCTGCTTCTTGCTAGCTGTGTTTGTTATCTGAATTTCAGTTTCCTTATCAGTAAGAGAATGTCAGTAGTAATCCCCTCCTCAGATACTGCTGTGATGCCAAAATAATGAAACCAAAGTGAGTTTTGAATTGAAAAGGACATTGCAAATGGGAATTATGATACAGAAATGAGATAAATTGCAGAAAAACAAAGACTTGAGAAAATCAAAAACTTGAGAAAAATTAACTGACTTTAAATTTTATCCCAAGGAAATTACCACCTCACCATCTTTTCCTCTCTGATGTAATTTCTTTAAAAATTTGATCCTACTATAGACACGTAAGTTTTTCTTTTTATCAGAGCATCATACTTATACATAGTATTTGGTTTCCTATTGACATTATTATACATACAAGGAATTTGATTTCAATCCCCAATTCCCCTCCCCATTTCTTCTTCATCTCTCCTCCTTTACTCTTTCCTCTGCTCTACTGATCTTCCTTTCACACCTTTATACATTCATTTATTTTTGAAAATATTTTGGTGTGGTTGATTGAACCCAGAGGCATGTTATCTCACTTTTCATTTTGAGATAGGGTCTCACTGTGTTGCTTAGGGCCTTGCTAAGTTGCTGAAGCTGGCGTTGAACTTATGATCCTCTTCCGTTAGCTTCCCAAATTGCTGGGATTACAGATGCGCACCACCACACCTGTATTATTTTTAATTAGTACTTTCTACATATACATAAAGGGGATATTTCCTTTGATCTCTCTCCATATATATGGCTATATATACATTTTTTTTCCTGGATATATATTAACCCCCTGTTAGAGGAGTAACTGACAAAGATTTTCTGTATATATATATATATATATATATATATATATATATATATATATATTTCCTCCCTCCCTGCTTCTCCTTCCCTTACTTCTACTCCACTGATCTTTCCTATGTTTTGTGATGTCTGATCCCCTTCCACACTGCCTTCTTTCCCTTAATTTTGCTTTAGCTCCTAAATATGAGATAAAACATTTGACCCTTGATGTTATGAGCGTGGCTTATTTCATTTAGGATGTTCCCCCCCACAAGTTTTTATCCATGTATTAGCAAATATCACTATTTCATTTTTCTTTATGACTAAGTAAAGCTCCATTGTATACACAGACCACATTTACTTGATACGTTTATCTATTGATGGGCATCTGGATTGATTCCATAATTTGGCTGTTGTGAACTGTGCTGCTACAAACATTGTAGTGGCTTCATCACTTTGGTGTGCTGATTTTAGTTCTTTTGTATAATACCAAGTAGTGGGTCATATGGTGGTTTTATTCTTAACTATTTGAGGAATCTCCACACTGTTTTCCAAAGTGGTTGTACTAATTTGCAGTTCCACCAACAATGTATGGGTGTACCCTTTTCCCTACATCCTCTCCAGCATTTACGTTTACTCATTTTCTTGATAATTTCCATTTTGACTAGAGTGAGAAGAAATCTTTTTGGGGGGGGGTGGGGGATTAAACTCAAGGACACTCAACCACTGAGCCACATCTCCAGCCCTATTTTATATTTTATTTAGAGACAGGGTTTCACTGAGTTGCTTAGCACCTTGCTTTTGCTGAGGCTGGCTTTGAACTCGTGATTCTCCTGCCTCAGCCTCCTGAGCCACTGGGATTACAGGTGTGTACAGGTGCCTGACAAGAGTTAAAACCTCAATGTTGTTTGATTGCATTTCCCTGATTGCTAGAGCTATTGATTATTTTTTCATATATTTGTTGGTCATTTGTGTTTCTTCTTTTGAAGAATTTCTGTTTAGTGCTTTTGTCCATTAATTGATTGTGTTTTTTTGTCATTAAATTTTTGAGTTCTTTATATGTTCTTGATATTAACACCCTGTCAGAGGAGTAACTGGCAGATTGTCTCCCATTGTGTAGGCTCTCTCTTCATTTCCTTTGCTTTGCAGAAGTTTTTTTTAATTTGTTAGCATCCTACTTATTGATTTTTGGCTATATTTCTTGAGCTTTTAGGGTCTTGTTGATGGAGTCAATGCTTGCACCTGTGTGATAGAATATTGACCCTATGTTTTCTTCTAGCAATGGCAAGGTTTCTGGTCTAATTCCTAAATCTTTGATCCATTTTAATTTGATTTTTGTACAGCATAAGAGATAGGCATCTAATTTCATTCTTTTAGCTACAGATATAC